TTCCCTCCAAAACATACCTTTCTTCCATTCACAAAGAAAATCAATTCATCCGACCGTGCAGTTGTGGAGGATGACATTTTAGCACCAGAAAAGTCTAGGTGGTAAAAAAAACAACAAATTCACTATACAAGGAGTTGATAAACTAGAGTTCTGATCATCAGATAATTATGCTTGTGTGGGAGAGGAGGAGGAGAACATTGGAATAGGGAAGGAAAGAGGGTGGAGACTTGCTGCAGGCAGACAATAGGTGGGTGAAGGAGTTCGGGAAAAGACAGAATATCCTGGGTTGTTTTAGGACACTAGTAAAGTAGGCTGGACTTTGATGGTTGATTCTGTATGCTAGACTGCTACCAGCACTTGAACTACCTAGTTAAAGCTTGCTCAGGTATGTACACCATATATTGCAGTCACAAAATTATTGTGTTAACTAGGAAGAGTAGTCAGGTATAAGTTATAAGGTATAAACTCAACTGATCTTTTAATCAAAACAGACCCTTACTCCCAGACCACTATTCAACTTCTTAAACATACTTTTAGTCTCATCTTCAATCATTTTGATGTGGAATGCATTAAGTTGTTCTGAAAGGTATAATGCTGAAAAGATAAAAGATCTTTTGTTTCACTGGCCTGGCTTGTTTCCACCCCCAGAACTTCCAACAGCAGAAAGCAGCTGCCATCACCAAAAACGCATAGACATTTGTGTGCTTCTGCCAGCTCTGTGCACCTTCATTCAGCATCTGAACTGTGAGAGCCCAAAGTGCACCCTGGAAAAGCACCAGCTACTGAAGGAACTGCAGCTGCTGGCAGAAGCCTCATTTCAGTTGGCAGAAGTGGTTTTACCTCTTCTGTCAGGAAAAGGTTTCTGTTGCTGTAGAGGATTTTTGAGTGCAAACACATTCATGCCTGTGGGTCATACTTTATGGCAAAGACTACGCCATAGTTCTAAGCAGTGGGCTGTATGTTAGGGCTCTGCGAAATTTTGCCGGGTGTTTTGTTTCAAAGCTGTTTCGATGTGTTTCGAGCTCAAAACAGCAAAATCAAAACAAAACGAAAGCCTTCAAAACAGCTTTGAAACGAAACAAGGGCACTCGAAACATTTTGAGTTTCAAAGCTGGGCTTACTTGGCTTCAGCACCGGTCCCAGCCAGCAGTGGCAGCCTCCTGTCATCCGGCATGCAGATCCAGGGGTGGCACCCCCCAGGAGGAATCTGGCACAGCCCCACAGCCCTCCTGGGGGTGCGGGTCCCCAGACATGAGTGACTGGTGCCTCCTGAATCTGGGGGTGTAACCATAGAAGCTGCTGATGGTGGTGGCCATCAGGGGTGGCATCAGTGTCAGCTGTCAGGAGATGCACCGGCCCCTTCAGGGGGTCACGTGCACTCCCATGCGCCCCCTACCAGTCGCCCATGCCCCTGGATCTGCGTGCAGGATGACAGCATGCTGTTGCTGCCAGGTGGGGCCAGTGGCAGCAGCAGTCTTCCTAGCACTTGGCATGGGTTGCGCCCAGCACCGGTCCCAGGCAGCAATAGCAGCCTTTTGTCATCTGGAGCACAGATCGGGGGCCCGCACTCCCGGGAGCAGTCTGGAACAGTCCCATAGCCCTGCTTGGGGCACGGGCTCCTGGATCTGCGGGCCAGATGACAGGAGGCTGCTGCTGCCAGCAAGTGTCATGAGTTTTGCTTTAAACAGTTTGAGGTGCAGTTTCCCAGAAACCCCTGCAGCTGTCTCCTTGAAACTTGGCAGGCTTCACACCCTCACAAGGGGCTACCATCCCTGCACGTTTCACCTGAACCAGGCAATAAATGACAAAGTTACAGGCAGTTTTGTGCTTCCCCATTATAGCCTATGGGCAAAATGTCGAAACATCGTTAAAACAGCAAAACAGTTTCTACAAAATGAAACGGACCAGTGCTTTCAAAATTAATCAAAACTTGAAAAGAAACAGAAAAAGTCCCATTGAAACAGCAAAACGGAAGTCGAAACAAAATGATGCTGTTTTGCACAGCCCTGCTGTATCTGACTCTCAGCATGAAACTCATAGCATGAACGTAGTTAATCAAGAATGTTCCATACATTAATTAAATCAAAACATACTCATGCAGCAGGATGGAAGAATTCGTACAAGTAAGTCTTTTATTAATCCTGTGAAGGTAGCAACCAAATGTAATCTTTACTAAGCCCTTCTATTTTTTTTTTTTAATGACATATTTCTTAACATGTTTTCTTTGTATATGTTAAGGAAGTTTATTTGGACAGCCGCAGCCCTCTGAAGCCTGGTGAAACATACTCCGATGGGGGAAATCCCTCCAAGGCCCTTACATTAATGATCCTATTTAAACCTAATCATGCCCAGTTGAAGGAAATAGCAAAACACCCACTTAAGTCAATGGGAGGAAAATTAAGCCAGCTGCATTTTCTGACACGTCTGTTTAGGGTATTCTAAGGAGAGGAAGAGGGCACAGGACACATAAATGTCCACTATGCAGATATCAGTTTTAAACTGTCAGTATAGTCCTGCTCAGAGCCATAGGGAACACCTAGTTGTGATTTATCATGGGGTACAGCTCTGCGTAGCCCTGAAGCAAAAAAGGCAAACGCTTGTCGCCGGCAAAGGGCTGGCTCCCCGCCAGGGCCCCGCGGCCGCCCCCGCCACAGGGAGGGTCCG